AATTATTTGATGTGTTTGTGCTCTTTGTTTTTGGTTTGGCTTTGGTGGCACGGGCAGTCTAACCTGAAACCAGCAATTCAAGCGCTTCTTGTTGGCAAGTCATATGCCTTGCTGAAGTGTTCTGAGGAACAGTGAATTTCTGCAGCTGCTCTGTATCAAGTCCGTTCACCGATGATGCTGTATTGTTGTGCAGTGGAGGGTAAATAGGCCTGATTTGGGTCTTTTACTTAAGCGGCTCTCTCAAAGCGGTTGCAAATAAATCTCACGCACGCACTCACACTCGCTACGCGCACACACATCAAAACGATATTTGTGACAGCCAAAATTTGTCATTTGTCCTGACTTCTCTGTAATTGTTAAATTGTTTTTGCTAAAAGGTCAGTGGCATTATTTCAGTCACTGAAGCCTCTTGAAGCCTTATTATTTTATTGTGTATTACTTATTATTTATTTACAAGCAATTTAAGATGGGAAAGTTTGTTTTGGTTGAAGTGTCATGGCTCATGGACAAACTGACAAAGAGCAAGACAAAGGGTAGGAGACCAGTCGTTTTACAAACCGAGCGGAATATAAATCGTTGATGTACCGAGTATAAAGTATACACTGACGTCCTCCCAACATTACGAGTTTAGGTCGGGCCATAGTTCAAAAGATGATGATACACGAAGGCATTTGTTTTCTTTATTATTTATTTTTGTATTTACTTTGAATCAGGAATCCTTATAACCATATAGCGGCTTGGGCGAGCGCGTCGCCGTATAAGTGTTTGATGAGGCGACTGGGCACCTTGGTGGTGGTAATTGTTATGCAGTCCCCAAAACAAACGAAACTGTGATGCTCTGTGTGTTCGTGACACTTCTATCAGAACCAGCATTAACTGTTTGCAGTTTGACCTACAGGTAGCTCGTCTGTTGGATGTAGACCCACGGGGCCAGCCTTCATCCACGTACACTCAATTCAGCCTTGGCCTCCCATGAACCCCTGTCTCTGGTTCACCACTTTTTACTTCCTTGGACATTTTTGATAGTTTATGACCTCTGCAGACCGGGAACATCCCATCAGAGCTGCAGGTTTTGGAATGCTCTGACCCAGGTCCTCTATGCGTTTGGCCTTGTCAAAGTCGCAGTCAAATCCTTATGCTGCAAATTTTATATGCATATCATAAAACGCATCAACTTGGAGACAATAAATTGTTCACACCATGATCCTGCACGTCACCATCCACTCATACCACCCCTGACAGACCACGACTAACCCGGAATAAGTTCAGTGCTTATTAATCTCACCTGGTCGCAAGTGAACTCCCATAATGTCCCTCGCTGCCACCTGACGGTCCTATCTATCCTGCCCATTCAAAGACGTCTTAAAACATCTAAGTGCAAATAAAGAAAAACAGTTCATACAAGACATATATGGAGAGCAAATTTTTCCACAAATCATACGGCAGTGGAAGTCGAGAAAAGTTCGAATTGAAGTGATTATTGAATACGGATCCAGACTCTAGCTCACAACATACAGTTTATACTGAATTACAACATTATTTTAGTATCTGTGTCAACTATCAAGCAGTTGAATAAAGATCTGCACGTCTCCGCCGCCCAGCTTCAGAATTAACTAAGTTAAGGGCTCTCAATTAACTCAACTTTTACTTGTGTTCATTTATCAGTCTTTTCAGTACTGACCCTCAACATTATGAGGTTGACTGATCTCATACTATGCGTCAGTTCGCCAGGCATACGTCAGGAGGATAAACAGTGTTCCCTGGCATGGAGACTCAGACAGCCTGCACCACGTGGTTATAATCATAAGCGGCTCACAGGTCATCCAAACAGAACGTAACAGTCTTTCGATGTTACATGGCACAGCGTTGCTCTGGACCGAGGTCAACTGACACAAGGCGAGGCGATGCGAGGCCTCTGCTCTTGCTTCCAGTAAGGCAGAAAGAGAGAGAAAAGGGATGGCAGCTCATGGAGGGCTGCTGGGGTTGGTTGGAGCTCCAGATTCGAAGAATATTTGTTTTATGTCAGAATGAAGCAGTGAGTTTGCATGAAGCGAGTATAGCCACATTGTGATGGCTAGACGACTGGGTCAGAGCATCTCCAAACCTGCAGCTCTTGTGGGATGTTCCCGGTCTGCAGAGGTCAGTAACTATCAAAAGTGGTCCAAGGAAGTAAAAGTGGTGAACCAGAGACAGGGTCATGGGAGGCCAAGGCTGATTGATGTAGCTGGCCCCGTGGGTCTACATCCAACAGACGAGCTACCTGTAGGTCAAACTGCGAAACAGTTAATGCTGGTTCTGATAGAAAGGTGTCAGAACACACAGAGCATCACAGTTTGTTGTTTATGGGGGCTGCATAACATTACGACCACCAAGGTGCCCAGGTGGTCATAAAGTTATAGCTGATCAATGTATATGTTATAAGGATTTATTCAAATAAATAAATAATAAATAATAAAGAAAACAAATGCCTTCGTTGTCATCATCATTTTGAACTATGGTCGACCTATCGTAATGTTGTGGGGGATCAGTGTATACTTTATATGTAATAACGATTTATATTGCTGGTTTAGTAGAACACTGGTTCCTACCCTTTTTGGCTTTTGTTAGTTTGTCCATGAGCCATGAACACTTCAACCAAAAAAACTTTCCCATCTTAAATTGCTTTAAATATAATAATAATAATAATAATAATAATAAGGCTTCAATGAGGCTTCAGTGACTGAAATAATGCACTATTTTACAAAAAAATTAACAATTAGAGAGAAGTCAGGACAAATGAACAAATTTTGGTGTAGACGAATATGTTTTTGATTCTTTCCTACATTACTCATCCCTGAGATTTATTTTGCAACCGCTTTGAGAGAGCCACTTAAGTAAAAGACCCAAAATAGGCCTATTTATCCCTCCACTGAAAGCAATACAGCATCATGGTGAAGGATTGGATACAGAGCAGCTGGCAGGAATTCACTGTTCCTCAAGGACACTTCAGCAAGGCATATGATTGCCAACAAGAGCGCTTGAATGCTGGTTTTCCAGTTAGAGCTGCCCCGCTGCCACAAAGCCAAACCAAACAAGAGCACAAACACATCAAATAATATCAAAGTTCTCAACAACACAGGCTCCTTCCAGATTGTACCCTGTTTTTCGCTGAGACTAAGGGGGCCAGCTCATAACTGTTTCGCACCTTTTCATTAACATGCTTCCTGCAACCATAGCAAGCGGATATTTAAACAAGAAGGCAGTCAGGCATTTTTTCATCTCCTGTAAATATTCATTTTCCTGCCCAAACAGATGCCGCCTTGTGTTAATCCAAGATTAGTTTATACAGGCAGAATTTAGAGTGACTTTAAAAGAGGCACCGAGCTGAACGCTAAGCTGGTAATTACTGCTGCTATCATCATGTCACAAACACATGTTTAGATCTCATAAGATGTGACATTTGACTTGCACACACACACACAGAAATGCAAAGAATAATCTGAGGAGCTGGTGGGTTATGTGACTTCCTTTGAATACTGTACTGTTCACAGTGCTCGCTCATGAATATGTCTCATTTAATAACTTTAATCTAATATCTATGTTTGCTCCTGGAAAACACATGTCCCAATCAGTATGTTGATAAAAGGTGTTATGTTAAGTAGCAAAGCTATTATGTAAAAATTCTCCACTACCAGTAAGTCCTGCATTGAATCAAAATACTACTTTATCATAATATAATAATATTAATAAAACAATAATTTAGGTAATTTTTTTCTGAAATCTACACTTGTCCATTATGAAATGACTCAAGTAAAGTACCTGAAATGTACAGTACTTGAGTAAATGTCAATCTTTAGTATAAGTATAAGTAGCACTGCTGTTTATAGTTATAGGTAAAACCTTACTGGAGTAAATGCAATCATGTAAAGTATCAAAAGTACTCACTGCGCAGAAAGGTCTATGTCAGTGTTATATTATCATATCATTGATCTTAATTTTTCATATATTAGCAAGTTAGCAATATTGTTGTAGTTTGTAAAAAATAAGCTAATTTGAACTACTATAAGATTGGTTTGGTAGTTGAAGCTGTAATAATGTATTAAAGTTATCATGTTTTATGTATGACAACAAAACAAATATGTGCGTAAACTACCTCACAGTTGTACTTGAGTAAATGTACTTAGTCTTTGGCTACCCCAGTTACTAATGATTGATAATATATTGATATTATCTTTTTGGCCACTAGGAGGAGCTCAAAACATCAGTAAATGGACTGAAGACTAAGATGACTCACTTTGAGGAAGTAACACAGACCTGTGAACATGCATCCAGACATAACCAGGTAGAACTGCAACTATACAACTCAAATAAAACAGAAGTTCAGATGCATGCATACATTTAGGATTGGTCTGCTGCTTTAGGACCTTCTCTTCTTTCCTTACACTTCTTTTGCTTTTCCTACTCTTCCCAGGCTGAGGCCAAATTCATAGAGGAGCAGATGAAAAAGGAATTTGAAAGTCTTCACCAGTTTTTGAGAGAGGAGGAAGCAGCCAGGCTACTTGCACTCAGGGAGGAAAAGGAGAAGAAGAAGAGAGAGGCTGAAAATCAGATAGACAAAATGAATCAGGTGATAAAGTCTCTGGAAGAGAAGCTCCAACTGGTTGAAGAGGAGCTGGATGCAGGAGGAGATGGGGTTAAATTTTTAGAGGTAATATAAATCAAATGTTACATAATTAGTCAATGAATGAATAGGTGATTGTATTTAAAACAGTAACTATACCAACTCTTTTTTTTCTTCTTCTTTTTTTTTGCAGTGCTACCACGACACGATAAATAGGTATGTGACATTTCTGGGTATTTTTCACACACAAGCACTCACGTGTAACTTTCTGCTTGTTCATATTTATTACATTATATATATATTATAGCAAGGAGCCACAGAAAGTTTGCAGACCTCTAATAGATGTGGCCAAACACCTGGGTAACCTACCGTATGCTGTGTGGGAGAAGATGAAACACATCACCCCGTACAGTCAGTCTCTTTCCATCCACTCATACACTTCCTGTTCCCTGCCGCCCTCCTCCCTCCTCCAATTCCTCTAACCCACTTTGTATCTTCCAGCTCCAGTGACGCTGGACCCCAGGACAGCAAGCCATACTCTGAGGGTGTCTACTGGGTTAAACAGTGTCCATATCATCCCTGGATCCTCACAGGGGCTGGACCATAGTCTGGGTGTTGCTGTCCTTGCCCCAGCTAACCCTGAACGTTTCCACCCTTATTCCTGTCTCCTGGCGAGAGAGGGCTTCGACTCAGGAGTGCACTGTTGGGATATTGAGGTATTTACATTCTGTGTCCGAGCCTGAGCAGTTTAACAATGAGCTGTAATTATTGACTTAGATATTTTACATTGTAAAAGTCAGTACTCTCTTGTGGATGAACTGGTGACACAGATGAAAATGACCTCAAACCTACTTTATTTCTGCACTGCAGTTTCGTATTGCTTATCGGCCCACATACACACAGATGGCAATGTATCTACAAGCTAATATTGGCCAATACATCGTTCTAGCGTTACGCTCTGTTTAAGGACCAGTGAGTCAGAACTGCTTGTCAGATGGTTGAATATATTGAGAAACCCCCTCTCCCCAGCACCTCTCAGGTGTGGCACCAATTTTGTTAAACTGACAAGCTGACATTCCCACCAGCTTTACACCGTGATTACTCAGCTGTGTGGAGGTGAGGAACTGAGCAGGGTTTGAACTTCTCTTGCTTTTCAGTTTTGCAACTACTTCTGTCACTTTTCCTGTGAACAACCAAGTGCAAACATTATGAATGTCTTCCAGGAGAGGCAGTCTGAAAATGTGCACCGTTCTGACCATTATTAAACAATATTGCGTCTCTCCTTCTCTTTCTTTTATAGAAATTATGTGCTTGTGTAAAAGCAAAAATCAGCCCATAGGTGGATTTTATTTACTTTAAAATATCAGTATAGGTGCCTTAGATGTCCACTATTGGTTGGGCTCTAGTATACACATACTGTAAGATACATCTGTTTCTGAAGCCACCCTGATTGTCTAATCCTTTATTTCATTGATTTCTACAGGTTGGTGACACCAATAATTGGACAGTCGGTGTTGCTGCTCAGTCATTGTCCAGAAGGTCAGAGTTTGAGTCCTTTCCAGAGGCAGGACTGTGGTGTATCAGCCTGCGAGACGGCGAGTACCAAGCTTTGACCACTCCCTCTCAAGCCCTAAATCTCGAAAACTCACACCGCCTCAGCAGGGTCCGTGTGAGGCTGGGCTGGGATGAAGGGACACTGGAATTTATGAACGCCGATACTGAAACACATCTTTTCACATTTAGACATTGCTTTACTGAAAAGGTGTACCCATACTTTGAGAGTATATCGTTGGGTGGGTGCCTTACTGTGTTGGCACAGAGAGTGAACGTCAGCGTGGAGTCAGATTTTGTCTCTGTGGAAGACACTACTCTCACTGAGGAGGATCAGGTGACAAAAAGCAATTCTTGCACCGAGGGAGACTTTAACACTGCAATGACTAACAGCAACAGCAAGATGTCAGAGTTTGTACATCTGACTGAAGACAACAACTCAATTTGTTCTATGAGAGAGAAGAAAACCCCACCTCAGAGACGTGTGTTGAAGGATCAGCTTATTAAAAGAAAACCCACTGGAACGGAAAAGGCAAAAGACAACAGATCTGCTGTCAAAAAACAGAACAGCAGGCCCAGGTTCAGTGTGAACTACCATGTTTCACTGAACAGAGCCCTAAAAAAAGCCCTAATCAACACTGAATCTGGCAATCACAAACAAATCCACAAATCATGTTGATCATCTGGTTAATAATCCTTGTGATAAATAAGAGTCTTCTGCTATTATCAATTATACAAGTCTTTCTCTTTAGTCTTCATTCACAGAAGCAGCGTGAGTATAGGGTCAGAAATGTCTCAACTACTGGACGGATTGCTGCATCATTTGGTACAAACTTCCTCAGATTAGGATGAACTGTAATCACTTTGCTTTATAACCAAATACCTGCAATCAGCCTCAGCTGTACTTTGTGTTTAGTGGTAATTAGCAAATATTAGCATGCTAACACGCTAAGCTAAGATGGTGAACATGGTAAACGATATACCTGCTTAACATCAACATGTTGTGAGCATGTTAGCATACTGACGTTCACATTTAGCTCAAAGCATCAATACAGCCACAATAGTGTCAAAGTACAGCCGCTAGCATAGCTTAGTCTTGTTTATAGGAGTTGGAGGAGACTGGATTGGATTTTGTTTCTGAGGAGTTTGATGAAAATATATTTTTGCTGTGTTCTCATCCGTACAGGCTCTGATACATCGACTGAAATTGTATTAGTTTCTAATTTGTTTTTAGATAAAGGTTATTGATGTAAAACTCTTCATGTTTAAAGGCCATTAACTGGATGAGCTGGATATGTAACTAACAAAATGTAAAATACTGTGCAGGTGAAAGAAAAAATGTATTCAATTTGGTAAAAAATAAAGTTTATTTAATTACAAAAAACAGTGACACAATCATATTTAAACATCAGTATTTCCAGTAGTTGTTACTACATCCCTGAAAATACATCTTTCTTTCTCTCTCTTTCCCTTTTGAAATATACACACTATCCTCTTCAACAGTCTCAGCCTCATAAACATACTCTCCCCTCCATGATGGCACTATATAGTCCGTCAGTAACCGCCTCGTAACGCCCAGCACGACTGTCCAGAAAATAAATCTTTTCACTTGAGTCTTGCGGCTTGTATCCTTCCCTCTGCAGCCGTGCCTTCTGGATTTTGAAGGTACCTGAGGACAAAAGTGGAAGACTAAGTTTATGTGTAACTTTTTTTTATGTGTGTGTATGTTTGCATGTCCTTGCAGCACTGTTTCACCTGTAGTGTCAACAGATGGCATGAGTCGGAGGAAGACTGGGCGTGCGTAGGACGGCAGTGCTTTCTGTACAGCCATCAAGAACGCATCGAGGTCAAACTCACCCCCTGTGTGAGCTACTGCGGCCATACCAGCCTTTCCCTCCACACCTGCACACAGACAGACAGGTGAGATAATACATTATATGATGTAACACCCACATTAAGCCTTTAATCTTCTTTTCCTGCCCTAACTGGCTCGTCTCATCTCTACCTGGTACGGAAACTCCATAGATGGCTACGTCAGTGTGTCCCAGCAGGCCGCTGAGGACTCCCTCCACCTCTGTGGTGGAAACGTTCTCCCCTCGCCAACGAAACGTGTCACCGCTGCGGTCCCTGAAATACATGTAGCCATATTCATCCATCACCAGCACATCACCTGAGAGACAGATAGAAACAGACAGAGAGGGAATTAATAACAATCATCATCATCATAATGCCTGGAGGGGATCACAGAGTAGAAGGTTAGGTCAGCATGATTCACCAGTACAGTTTTGTCTTTGATATAATATTATGGTGAGTCACTGTGCTGTCTGACTCCTTGTGGGCTTTACTGGACTGAAACGTAACTTCTCCTATATACAAACTGTGTAATGCCCTCAGTGTGTCTGCGTTTATTTGTATCTATTGCTATCCTCTGGGTTTAAGGATGTATCATCTCTAACAATCATCATTAATTGTTTTGTGGGGGGTTTTTTCACTCACAGGCTGGAACATATCCCAGCATGCACTGGGTGTAAGGTGTGAAACACCATGGACAGGTTCCAGTCTGTCATCACAGACAGTGAATCACAAACATTCACACTTAAGGGCAATTTAAAGAATCCAGTGCAGCTGTGTTTTAGTGTATGTTTTTGGACTGTAGGAGGAAACAAGTATGAACCCACATAGTTGATCATCATTATTATGACTGTCTCCTAAACAGACAATCAGCGTAAACATACCTGAGACGTAGACAGAGTCTCCCATCTGGAAGACATTGTGAGCTATTTTCTGATTGCTGGAATCTTGATCAGCGTAGCCGTCGAATCTCCTGAGCGGATCAGTGTGGTTGATGCGTCCCACTAACATACCTGGCTCCCCTGCAGAGACACAGAGAAGAGAACATAGATCAATTTGACACCTTTCATTCAGTTGTGGCTTTGTGTGTTTATTAGGGCATGACTGCTGCATTTTAGTAGTCTTCGACTACTACTCTGAAAAACTAGTCAATCGAGAGAGATATATCGTATTTTTTCAACAGACGAGGCTGTACAACAAGTAAAGGGTTAACTAATGTAGGCTGGACAAACCTGGGGGTAGGTGAAATAGCAGAGTCATCGGCTGGCTCTAAGAAGCTGTTTACAAATGAGCAGCGATCTGATTGGCCTAAACCTCCTAGCACGCTTTCTTGAGCTGGACATCCTGTTTGATTACAATGACAACAAGATGGTTGTCTCGCAGGGATAGCGGTCTTTCCATCTCTAAATACCATTATTTAAAATTGAATAACATGTAAAATAATTGTTCAAACAAATCTATGTACAACAACAACCAAAGTTATGTCCACTGCTGGCCATTAGAAGGACATCTCAAAAGCTCTGAATAGCCCACTATCATGGACTATGATTACAGCTCCCCCAGCTGCATATCTGCTGTAGAT